CCCGTCCTTCACCTGGCCAGTCTCGTAGGCGGGCAGGGGGGTTATATTTGATTAAATCGTCTGGATAGGGAGACATCAGAGAAAGTTAATCCTCCTCTTTACGGTCGCAAGAGGGAGGGCCAAATGTCCGTGACACATTTAATATATATATCTTATTAATACTACTACTTAACGTAAAGAAATGGTGGATTTTATGTCGTTTTGTAGAAACTAAGTAACGAGCAAATATATGACCTATAATGTTAATAATAATACTTGTTTCATCTGGACAAGTCGCTTTAATACGGGTTTTAGTTGTTTTTGACGCTCGGTCCGTCCGTTCTGCGGAGGCGAAGACTTTACGAACAGACTTTGCGGCGGGCCATCCCAGACTGCGGCCTCCCTCCTGGCCTGGTTTTGGGCGCCACGTCGGCACTGGCGCTGCGTCTGCCTGGGGCCACCTTAGCTCCCCAATCCCGGTGTACTCTTTTTACAAACCTCTACACTGGTTTTCACTTTTAGTGTTAACACTCTCTTTTCTGTCTTAAGACTGACATAAAAAGTCTTAAGGACTCTTTTAATTTCAGTTTTTACCAATATAAATAACAACTAAATTAATAAATACATGAATGAATGAAAGTAATATATAATTAAATGTGTCGGAAAAAATATTACATCCTATTAATTGAAATAAATAGAAATAAATGAAATTAACTCTAACCAAGTGTATTCTATCAGAATGTATCCAATATTACACCACCAAACTTATGGACATCCTTGCAAGGAGAAAGCAATATTGTATGGACCATATTGCACGGTCAACGGTCTGTCTATGATCAGGACGGGAAATATAGTTGTATAATTGGTCTTTTATACACCGAAAAGTTTTTGCCACATTATTTAGTTATTACCAGTTTCATATTAAACCGGAGACTACTGTTAACATCAAAATCTCTGTTTCCGTTATTTAATGTTCCTGTTTGTTTTACTGACACTATTTCCGCGTGATTAGTACTCATTTTCCAGCATCAGCCAGTGCATGGATTAGTTTTAATATAGCTTTCTTTATTTAAACTTAGTTGTATTTATAAGGTGTCTTTTCTTCCATACTTAATATCAAAAATTTGTATATAGTTTTGCGCCCTAGTATTCATTTTGGAAATACCAGGGTACAACGCCTCGCGTCGAAAATAGACTTGAATCCTATTTTGAGCGGAGCCCAGCGCCGAGACGCTTCTGAGCCGTAAACGCAGCCGTAACGCGACGCAGACGGAACCGGTGGAATCTAGGGGGAATGCTCTTCCGCAGGGTTTCCATAAATGCAGATCCTTTGCTTTAGCTGCGATTTTCTTCTAGAAATTCTGACTTTTTCTAACAATACTGACTTTTTTCTCATGTGGCCCTAATCACCTTCCGTAAATGCAGACCCTTGGCTTTCACTGCCATTTAATAACCCCTCTCATCCTGCAAAGTGAAGATTAAAAGCTCTAACCGTAGAGTACACATTACCCTTCACAGGCCTCCAGGCTCTTCCTCTTGCTAGGCGGTTGCAGAAGACACCTTCAACCTACCAGCTTCCTGATGGCTTTCGACAGGGAACCGAACTTTTCGACATGCGTGAACCAGTTTCTGACTTCAGACAAGGTACCGAACCCTCCAGGAGATTCATCGTGGACCTGAACACCGGTCTGCTGCAAGAACACATGAGCGAGATGGACAGGGGAGACGGTATGAATCCAACTTAATCTAGAAGTAATTTAAAGAGGTTTTTAGTTTTTCATTTTTGCATTTCCTTTTTTCTGTAGCTTTCATCCGTCCTCTAGGAAAAGGATTGGGAGAGATGGAGGGAAGTCACCTGCTGACAAATGAGGGTGAGGAAGATACAAAGTGAAATAAACTCAATTTAACTACTATTTATTCTCCACTACTAAGTAACTACCCTCAAATTAATAACATATCAATAAAAAAAACCTGATTAATCTAAATGTTTTCTGTCTTCCAGTCCCTGAAGATGTTCCAGCCCAGAAGAACATTGGTGGTGCTGTTTGGGTCCGGGTGGAGAAACCCTCTGATCCTCGTCTCCCAGAGGGTTTCAGACAGGGAACTGAACCTATGATGTCTCTCCCAGAGAGTTTCAGACAGGGAACCGAACCTATCATGTCTCTCCCAGAGGGTTTCAGACAGGGAACTGAACCCATGATGTCTCTTCCAGATGGCTTTAGGCAGGGAACTGAACCTATTCACACGGTCCCAGATAGTTTTAGGGAGGAAATTCAATCTATGAAGTCCATCCATGAGGGGCTTAGCCAGGGAACCGAACCTATTCATATGGTCCCAGACGGCTTTGGGCAGGAAATTACATCTAAGATGTCCATCCCAGATGGTTTCAGACAGGGAACCGAACCCAGGATGTCCATCCCAGAGGGTTTCAGACAGGGAACCGAACCCAGGATGTCCATCCCAGATGGTTTCAGACAGGGAACCGAACCCAGGATGTCCATCCCAGAGGGTTCATTCTGTGTAGACAGGACAACTACTTGGTATAGACTACTATGAGGGAACGGAGGAAGGACGCAGTGCCAATGTACACGTAATTTTTTTTCACACTCACTCTGTCGAAAAAGGTTTTTGAAATAAGACATACTGAACGGAACCTGGAACGAGGAATAGGTGCAGTGTGGCCCAACAAAAGGGGTGGCAAAACAGCTCCTCTTTGGTCGCACTTACGTCTAGAGGCCAACAATGTCTACGTTCGAGTCGTAACCCGTTCTCTAGACGTACGGACTCTGTGTTCCCCCCCCACGCCCCCCCCCCCCCCCCCAGCCCCCCCCCACACACTAAAGTAGTACCTCGGTTTTCGTCTAGATTTTTGATAACCACTGCATGTTTGACCACCTTACTCCCAACCTACTCGGTCCATGTTTCGTGTGTTTTACGTTCTTATATAATTTGTTTCCGTCACCTATGATAGTTAGATACAGCACAATAAAGCGTAATAGGTAGTTCCATAACTAAAGTCATCTTAGTGTCAATAGTGTATACCTACATTACCAGATTGGACTCTAGACATTCCAGTCGCCACACCCAACTGAGTAATGTCAGGGAACTACTACAAAGGGGAAGTAACGGTGACAGAAACAGACACAGAGCCCCCAACTCACAAGTCAAAGGAACGACTTTGAAAGACTAGTTTCCAAGACAAAGGGACGGACTTGGAAGACCCTACCTGTAATACCCAAGCCAAGGGACGGATTTACAGGAAGACCCTAACCTGGGAGTACCCAAACAAGGGACGGATTTCGGAAGACCCCTACTGTAGTACCCAAGCCAAAGGACGGATTTCGGAAGACCTACCTGTAGTACCCAAAAGACAAAGAGACGGATTGGAAGACCCTACTGTAGTACCCAAGCCAAAGGACCGGATTTTGGAAGACCCTACCTGAGTTACCCAAGACCAGGGGACGGATGTTCGGAAGACCCGTACCTGAGTACACACAGACCAGGGACGGATTTCGGAAGACCCTACCTGTTAGTACCCCAAGCCAAGGGACGGATTCGGAAGAACCCTACCTGTAGTACCCAAGCCAAGGGACGGATTTCGGAGACCCAGTACCTGTAGTATCTAAATTAAAAGACCGGTTTTCGCGCAGGCCACTGCTAATACTTATCCAAGCTAAAGGAAGGATTGATGACCCTACTGTAGTAGCCAAGCCAGGGACAGAGTTTGGAAGACCTACCTGTAGTACCTAAGCCAAAGGACGATTTCGGGAGATACCTACTCCTGTAAGATCTAACTTAGAGAGGGATTTGAGAGACCCCGGCATCTTATCCAAGACAAGGACCGAGTCAGAAGAACCCTAACTGTAGTATCCAAGCCAAGGGACAGATTTTGGGAGACCCTTACCTGTAGGACCCAAGCCAA